ACAGCCAGCAAAAAAAAATGGGGACCAAATTCTGCCAACGAGAGGTAGCTTGGAAGACACTAATCAGCTCATAGCATAGAGGAGGGCACACATATTACCAGTACAGTAACTTCTCTTTTGTAGTTATGGTACCTGGAATTGTGGACTATAGCTAGAGGTTTATCAGTTTAACCCCAAAGCTTTGGCACAACTCATCAATGCTCTCTCTTATGCCAGTTCTGTTCATCATTGTACTGGAGGTACAAGACTGCAATCAGAACAGAAGGGGAAATAAAAGATATTCAGATGTGAAGGAAGAAGTAAACGTTGTTTGCAGGTGAAATGATCATGTTTGTAGAAAATCCTAAGGAATCTACCCTTGCCCCCTGCCCCCCGCCAAAAAATGCAGTAAGTTAGATTAGCAAGGTTGTAGGGGACGAAGTCAGTATGCAAAAATCAATAGCATTTCTACACACTAAAATTTAAAACGGGAAATTGAAATTTAAAAAGACATTATTTGCAATAGCATTACAATCATGAACTTATTAGAGAAATATATGTGAAATATATTTATATATATATACACATACATATATGAAAAACTGGTTCCGTAAAAACTACAAAACAAGGTCGCCTGGTGGCTCAGTCAGTTAAGCGGCTGCCTTCAGCTCAGGTCATGATCCTGGAGTCCCAGGATCGAGCCCCGCTTCAGGCTCCCTGCTCAGCGGGATGTCTACCTTGCCCTCTACTCCTCACCTCACTTGTGTTTTCTCTCATTCTCTTTCTCTCAAAAAAAACCACCAAAAAACAAAAACTGAAACATTCCTGAGAAATTAAAAAAGATGAAATAAATGGAGAGCCATACCATGCTTATGGATCAAAAGACTAAATGTTATTAGAGCTCAAGTTGCCCCAGATTGACCTAAGATTCATTGCATTCCCTTCTAGACTCAGCAAGATTTTGTAGAAGTTGCCAAACTGACTTGAAAATTTGTATGGAAATGCAAAAGATGTGGGATAGCCAAACAACTTTGAAAAAGAACTAAGTTAGAAGACTTAAACACTATCTGGTTTTAAGATTTAATTGTAAATTTATGGGGCACCTGGGTGGCTCAGTTGGTTAAGTGTCCAACTCCTGATCTCAGCTCAGGTCTTGATCTCAGGGTCAAGTTCAAGCCCCATGTTGGGCTCCACGCTGGGTGTGGTGCCTACTTAAAAAAAAATGATTTAACTATAAATTTATAGTAACTAGGGCAGTGTATTGGTATAAGATGAGACAGATCCATGGTACAGAATAGAAAGTACACAAATAGATTACCACATTTTTTGGTCAGTTGGTTTCCACAAAGCTACTCAGATAATTCAATATGAAAAGGGAAGTCTCTCACTTCTATTGGGCATTTTACACCAAAAACTGCCGGAATCTTCTCCCTCTAGTCCCCTTCGGTGTATCAGAGAAAAACCAAAATAGTATAGATTCTTCTTATCAACTAGAGAAGGAAACAAAGAAATGTTGCTTATCTTTTGTGGACCTGTTCAACTGACCTGGATGTAGAGTAGCAGGATTGTAACATTACTTAATCTGGGAAAGCAATAATGAAGAAATCTAAAGCAGAGAAAATTTAGCTCTAGTAGTTGGGAAAAGTGCCCCCAAAACCCCACAATTTCAATAAATTCATGTTTTTTTGTTTCCCAAACCTAATAAATAATAAGTGGCTTTAAAAGAAGGGTGTTGGGGCACCTGGGTGGCTCAGTCGTTAAGCGTCTGCCTTCGGCTCACGTCATGATCCCAGGGTCCTGGGATCGAGCCCCACATCGGGCTCCCTGCTCGGCGGGAAGCCTGCTTCTCCCTCTCCCACTCCCCCTGCTTGTGTTCCCTCTCTCGCTGTGTCTCTCTCTGTCAAATAAATAAAATCTTAAAAAAAAAAAAAAGAAAAGAAAAGAAGGGTGTTATATTTACTGTTGTTAATATATGCAAGGCATTGTGCTAAGGAGCTTTATATAAGAATATACACACACACATATGCACATACACACACACATTATATATATAATTCCTCACAATAATTGAATGAGATACAGTACTCAAGCTCATGTCATAGACCATGAAACTAAAACTTAGAGAATTATGGAACTTGTTGAAAGTCACATAATGGTAAAGTCAATATTTGAACACTGACTACAGAATATTCTTTTAACAATTACGCTGTACGTGTTACAGATAAGAGCTAAAGGACTTCAATGGGAGCGCCCCAAAGTTAGCTAGACTAGTTGGAGAAGACCACATGATAGATGAGGCTTGAATAAGCCCTAAAGTATAAATAATATTTATTTAAGCAAAGGGGAGGTCAGAGTTAAATAAGAGCAGGGAAATAGAATAAGTGATGTCTTAAAGTTGAGACATCATATGTTCAGGAAATTGTAAGGATATAACAAATTTGAGATTAGTGGAACATGAATTGAAAAGGCCAGATGGTCTTCAATGCCAGTTTATAGAGTTGGTACTTTATTCTACAGGTGTGAGAGAGCTAACACCAGTTTTACTTTTTTAAGATTTTATTTATTAGAGCACAAGCAGTGGGGAGCGGCAGGCAGAGGGAGAGGGAGAAGCAGGCTCCCTGCCAAGCAAGGAGCCCAATGCAGGACTCGATCCCAGGACCCCTGGGATCATGACCTGAGCTGAAGGCAGACACTTAACCACTGAGCCACCCAGGCGCCCTAACATCAGTTTTGAACAGGGGATAAGATGGATGACATTGGTATTTGAGAATATTTCATTCATGGGCATTATGTAAAATGCATTCAGAGAGAGGGTAGTTTAGGAGTTAAGGTGGTCTGGGCAGGAATGAAGAAAAGCTGAACAAAATAGGGTGGATTGCAATGGATATATGAAATATTTTGAAGTGGGTTTTGTTGACTAAATGGGAATGAGAGAAAGGAAGCCAATATTATTTGAATTTCAAACCTTTACTAGAAATAGGGAGTTGTGGGGCACCTAGGTGGCTTGGTTGGTTAAGCATCCAACTTTTGATCTCAGCTCAGGTCTTGATCTCAGGGTTCTGAGTTCAAGCCCTGTGTTGGGCTCTATGCTGGGCGTGGAGCCTACTTAAAAAAAAAAGAAAGAAATAGGGAGTTGTTTGGGAAAGAGAATATTTGAGAAGGAACATAATAAAGATTGATTTTCTTTATGTTTAGAAAGCATAGTGAACTATAGTTTGAAACTATAATGAAAAATTCAAGAAGAGGTATTCTGTGGGGAGGTAGAGATAAGGGATTAGAGTTTAAGAGTTTGAGAATAGAGATTAAGATTTGTGTGTACTCAGCATAAGCAAACTGAAACGTAAGCCAGTACCAGTTCACCAAGAGAAAAAAGCATATATGCAGATAAGAGAATGTTGCTCAGTATCTGCTAGAGTGTTAAAGGAAGAAGATAAGCCAGCAAAGGAGAGAAGCAGCACTCATCTAGAGTTGGAAAATACTTCTTTTTTTTTTTTTTTAAGATTTTATTTATTTATTCATGAGAGACAGAGAGACAGAGAGAGAGGCAGAGGGAGAAGCAGGCTCCCAAGGAGCAGGGAGCCCGATGCGGGGCTCGATCCCAGGACCCTGAGATCATGACCTGAGCCGAAGGCAGACGCTTAACCGTCTGAGCCACCCAGGCGCCCAAGAGTTGGAAAATACTTCTATGTGCTCATCTTCCTCTTCTATGTATGGGAATCCTCACTGTACCTCTCCACAATAATTTGGTGTATTTTCTTGCCTTGTTCATACCTCATTACTGTCTCTTTAAACCAACATGTCTAGATTTTCTATATACCTACCTCCCTTGCTTTATAATCATTTTTTAGGCTTTTTCAAAACTGACTAGTTCTAAATTGGATAGTAAGATATTTTCAAGGCCCTGAGTCCAAAGCTATATCTAATTTCAATAGCTTGTCAGGAGAATAAAACTAGGGGCACCTGGGTGGCTCAGTCGTTAAGCGTCTGCCTTCGGCTCACGTCATGATCCCAGGGTCCTGGGATGGAGCCCTACATCAGGCTCCCTGCTCAGCGGGAAGCCTGCTTTTCCCTCTCCCACTCCCCCTGCTTGTGTTCCCTCTCTCGCTGTCTCTGTCAAATAAATAAATAAAGTCTTAAAAAAATAAAAAAGAGTAAAACTAGTGTCTCACCAGAATTTTAGCTACTCACCAGGAGACCCAGTCTCTAAAAATATATAAATACATTTATTTTGAAGCGTGAGTTAATTCTGAATATTTTCTAATTGAATAACAGAATTCTTGTGGGTGGGGGGAGTTACAAGGGAAAGTTGGAGGAAGAAAGTTCCCGAGAACCAGAGAGAGAAAACAGATATACTTTAAAATCATCGATCATGAAAGACAATATATAAAATATTTGTTGCATATTGTAAGTTTCAGCCTATGCTGAAGCTAAGGCTGCTAGAATTGATGGGAAGGAGAAATGGATCTCCCTTCTGAGTACCTAGAAGTCTAAGCAACTGCCATTTTTTTTGTGTCTGAAAACGTACATATCAGGGCACCTGGATGGCTCAGTTGGTTGTGTCTGACTTTGGCTTAGGTCATGATCTTGGGGTCCTGGGACTGAGCCCCACATCTGCCCCCATGCTCAGTGGGGAGACTGCTTCTTCCTCTGTGTCTCCCTCTCCCCACTCTCTGTCTCTCTCTCTTAAATAAAAAGGAAAAAAAAACAAAAAACAAAAACGGGGCGCCTGGGTGGCTCAGATGTTAAGCGTCTGCCTTCGGCTCAGGTCATGATCCCAGGGTCTTGGGATCGAGTCCCGCATCAGGCTCCCTGCTCAGTGCAGAGCCTGCTTCTCCTTCTCCCTCTGCCATTCCCTCTGCTTGTGCTCTTATATCTCTCTGTCAAATAAATAAATAAAATCTTAAAAAAAAAAAGAAAATGTACATATCTAAAGTACTGTGAAAAGGAAGCATTTCTGTATTAGATAACACAAAATCCTGACTTTAAAAAAATGTCTAAATACAACCTTTCAATTTTTTCAGAGGAGATGCGAAAACGAGGCTTATTTCAATGGCTTGAGTCTCTTCAGATTGATAACACCACCTCTCCAGACCTGCAGCTCACTGTTGGAGCTGTGATTGTGGAGGAAATGAGAGCAGCCATAGAGAAGGAGACAGGCTTTCAGTGTTCAGCTGGAATTTCACACAATAAGGTGAACATGTACTTTCCTAAGAAGCAATCTGAAAAATCTGCAGAAAATGCTTATCTATATAGTTGTATCCAAAATATTTCCTTAATGACTGAACTATCTATAGAAAGGAGGTTAATGTTAATCTTTGAATTTTATATACAAACCTATTTCTTTTCACTTGCTGAATATCCTAGTATTATCTCACTACCTTTGTGGTATTGCCTGAGTATTTTAGGCTTTTGCCTATTCCCTCCTTTCTAATGAGGAATAAGAAAGATGGAATAATAAAATTTTATTAATTTGGACCACTATTTTGATTTAGGGAATACAGACAATTGTCAATAATCCAGGGGCAGAATAACTGGTTTTCTTATTAAAGTACAGTGAGGGTCTGGGATCTTCGTCCCCTTCTGACTAGGCTCAATAATTGGGCAGTGGCTGATTATTCCTGGTTACTGCCTTTTCCCCCTTCCTCCAATTGCCAAACTATCCCACAGAGTTTTAGAATATTTTTCTGATTGGGTGAAGGGAGGGGAAACTAAAGTCCCACTGTAGTAGTTTAAATGAGACTAAATATTGCCTAGTAGAAGTTCCAGAGAATCTCTCCAGTGAATTTAAAGGATGATTTTATACTTTTCCTACCAATTATAATTTGTGAAATGATACCACTGAAGCACCTATTCTTTCAAAAGAGTTCTCAAGGATTTAAAGTGTTTTTTTTTTTTAATTTTGAAGTCTCGTTTCTAGCATAAGATGTTTGCTATTGGAGGATGGTTTTGAGTCCAATCTCGTATCACAGAAACTTAAATTATGGTAAACTGTGTTAAATCCAGGACTCAAAATGGACTAACCATTAATCAAGAAATATAAATAAATGGAGTAGGGTAAAACAGGTTGGTTTCAGCATTTTTATATGGACATGCTAAGAAATGCATCTTATAGAAGTTTCTTCTGCAGCTTCTCTAGGCTTTTTACCCTCTTGAAGTGGGAGAACCTTAAGGAATAGATGGGGATGGAAAAAATAACTAAAGGAAAACTGAGAATAGAAGATGTGGAAAGAATAAGGAGGATGCTGATAATGGGTCATAGTTTCCACTGAGGATGTTGTGGGATACCACGTTTTAGAGATCTTGAGTTTCTGGTTTTGTTTTTGGTTTTAATGTGGAAACCATTAGTTACAGCCCTTAAGCTGTGCCTGTGTTTGTTTGTGTGTGTTAATATTCACCAACTCTCTGTGGGGGTGAGGTTGTCAGTAATGAAGTTTTTATGCTTTCCATACTCCAGGTCCTGGCAAAACTGGCCTGTGGACTAAACAAGCCCAACCACCAGACCCTGGTCTCACATGGGTCAGTCCCACAGCTCTTCAGCCAAATGCCTATTAGCAAAATGTAAGTATTTAGGGAGTACCTTCAGTTTCACTCATATACTTTGTGAGGGCACTCTCTGGTTTTTTCTGTTCCTTATGAAAGACTGGAGCCAGGAAAAGTAGGTAGCCAGGAAAGTAGAAGGGAGATAACACAGGAGATTTTGAAAAACACAGAGACTTTTTTTCCTAATGAACCTTCAATTCTGTATTATCTGTGGAAGTTGCTTAATCCTGAATTTTAAAAATGAACTGGTTTTTAGCTGTATATTTAATTTCCCTCTAGCCTTTTTATTCATGTCTGTTACTAAATAACAAAACAAATGGAGATTTTACTTCCTATTTTTCTTCTAATATGATATCAAGGTGTTCAGGGCTGCTGAACTGCTCCCAAACTAGCTGTGAGAGAAAAAGCCAAATAAAATGAATAACTAGGCTGTGCATACCAATGTGGGTCCTTGGCAAGGGTGTATGATATCGTGGAAGGGACAAGATGTAACAGTTGAAGGCAACAGTGAAAGTGCTATCAAGACTGTACGTGAGTGAGGCGCCTGGGTGGCTCAGTTGGTTAAGCGTCTGCCTTCGGCTCAGGTAATGATTCCAGCCCCACATCTAGCCCACATGGGGCTCCCTGCTCAGCTGGTGGGGGGGGCTGCTTCTCCCTCTCCCTCTGCCAGTCCCCCCTCCCCCGGCTTGTACTCTCTGGCTCTATTACTGTCAAATAAATAAAATCTTGGAAAAAAAAAGACTGTACATGAGTAGTTGCTAAATGAGTTGTACGGGTAGTTATCAGAGTTCATAGAAGAGAAATCTGAGGATTTATGAAAAAGACATGAGATTTTGTCTTGTCAGATGAGAATTGATGAGCAATTCTGATTTCAATAATGTTTTGAACACAAAGGGGGGAAAAGTATAAGGTATTTTCAGTGAGCTGGGACATAAACTAGTTTAACTGGACCAAAATGAAGAAGATATGTGCTAGAAATAGGACTGAAAAGGTAGGTTGATGACAGATTAAAGGAAGCCTCAAGGGCCAAGCTTAAGAATTATTATTATATTCTTGTTTTTTTTTTTTTTTAAGATTTTATTTATTTGACAGAGAGAGAGCACAAGCAGGGGGAGCGGCAGGCAGAGGGAGAAGCAGGCCTCCCCACTGAGCAGAGAGCCCAACTCCAGGCTTGATCCCAGGACTCTGGGATCAGGACCTGAGCCAAAGGCAGACGCTTAACGACTGAGCCACCCAGGTGCCCCTAATCAATGACTTTAACCTTTTGTTTATGCTATTGTTAATCTTCCCAGGTCCTAACTCCCAGAGTATTTGAATTTCCAGAATCATTCAGTCTTATACTAGAAAATTAATAGTTTACAGGACTGACTCTCATTTTCCCAGAATCCTCTGGAGAGCTATTTACACAAGCAAAATTTCTTATGTCTGCTGCTAACCAGATATTTATGATGTGACCTATAAATTCTTTATCTCTTTTGTTAGCCGTAATCTTGGAGGAAAGCTAGGTGCCTCTGTCATCGAAATCCTGGGGGTGGAATACATGGGTGAACTGACTCAGTTCACTGAATCCCAGCTTCAGAGTCATTTTGGGGAGAAGAATGGGTAAGTGATTCCTAATACTTTTCAATCATAACCTTTATGGAGATGCTAAATTCAAATATGGACAAAAGCACCCAGTAAAATTTAGACCTATCTTTAAGTTAACATTTGTTCCTCGAGGTAATATCATTGGTCCTTTTGCTTTAAAATATTAAATCACTGTGGCCTGTCAGTCTAGAGTAGTTTTTCATTTACCTAAATAGGTTGATAGGCTTGGGTATATACATCATTTTTGTGTGCTAAAATGCTGATAATTCCCTTAAAATCTTTGTAAGTAAGTACCAAAAAACTTGGGGATATGAATCAGTGGTTTGCTTGGCACTTTTCCAAAAATACAAATGATGACTTGACTTTAAAAAGCATAACCAGGTGTTCCTCTCCTTGGCAATATATTGCACTAGAATTATTTGGGAAGGGCAGGGATTCTGTCAGAGGTGAAGTATACTTAATTTTGGACATATTTTTCCTTTTCCATGAAGGAGATAAAAGGGTAGCGCAAGGTAGGTATTTTATTTTAACAAAAATAAGCGTTTGCTTTCACCTTAAAGTTTTTTTGCTGCTTTTATTAGATCTTGGCTATATGCCATGTGCCGTGGGATTGAACATGATCCAGTTAAACCCAGGAAACTACCTAAAACCATTGGCTGTGGCAAGAACTTCCCAGGAAAGACGGCCCTGGCTACTTGCGAACAGGTAGGCAGGCATTCTTGACGAGAAGATTGCCTCTTTTACAGGGGTTAGTGGATAGGTTTTGATAACTGCAGAAAGTTTAATAAGTTAGATGGGACCTTTCGGTTGTGAAGTATGAAGGTCTTTTTTTGTGTGTGTTGAAAATGGAGCTTGATTTATTATTTTTTCCACCCAAAAAGAAATAAAATGGAACTAACTGAAGTTCGAAATGGAATTACTCAGTTTTTGAGTAGGTGGTAACTTGGAAGGCCTGGGATATTATGCCCCAAGTTTGTGTGTGTCCTTTTTTCTCAGAGCTGAAACATGCCTGAAGTTCATCTGATGGCATGCCAGCCAGAAAAGAAAATGAAAATCTTGAGCTAGAGCAGGTCAGAAAATTTCTATAATCTGGTGATCCCTTGGTTATGGGGGAGATTTTATTGTACACTTATATTTGTGGGAGAACTGAACAAATCCTCCATCTAGTATTATAACAAACCTAGAATTTTTAAATGAAAGATTAAAGTCTCAACATTTTTTTAGGTCCAATGGTGGCTTTTGCAATTAGCCCATGAACTAGAGGAGAGACTAACCAAGGACCGAAATGATGTAAGATTTTCTTTCTTCATTCTTGGGGTGAGCTTTGGGATTTAATTACCAGTTGTTAATTACCTGAAAGAGGAGTAGAGACAAAGATACAAAAAGATACCAGATTAGGAAATTTTTTTTTTTAATATATATATTTTTAAATTTGACAGAGACACAGCGAGAGAGGGAACACAAGCAAGGGGAGTGGGAGAGGAAGAAGCAGGCTTCCTGCGGAGCAGGGAGCCCGATGTGGGGCTCGATCCCGGGACTCTGGGATCATGACCTGAGCTGAAGGCAGAGGCATAATGACTGAGCCACCCAGGCACCCCTAGACTGGGAAATTTTGAGAAATCTTTTATCTTCTTCCATAGAACTCCCATAAAACTCAACATGATCGGGGCACCTGGGTGGCTCAGTCGGTTAAGTGGCTGCCTTCGGCTCAGGTCATGATCCCAGCGTCTGGGATCGAGCCCCGCATCCGGCTCCCTGCTCGGCAGAGAGCCTGCTTCTCCCTCTCCCTCTGTCTGCCGCTCTGCCTGCTTGTGCTCTCTCTCTCTCTCTCTGTTAAATAAATAAATAAATAAATAAATCTTAAAAAAAAAAAACCAAAAACCTCAACATGATCTTTGAAAGCCTAGAACTGTGAACATATGACTACCTCATCCCCCTCATTACTATTTGCCTCTACTCTTTTGTATATTTCTTATCTAAACCCCCCTGCAATCTGATGAAGATCTGGTGGATCTTCATCAGAATACAGAGCCATTAAAAAGGGCATTCAGGGATTAGACTGTAAATTATTGCAATTTAAATATAGTCCAAGTGACAGAAAATTACTGGCAGTTTTAGAGATAGAGTATGAAGTCAAAGATTTGACATCTGATGATTAGTTTATCCTTTCCTTAAAAAAAAAAAAGCTTTATTGGGGTGCCTGGGTGGCTGATCCTGGGATCGAGCCCCTTCTCCTCTCCATCTCTCTCGTTCTCTCTCTCAAATAAGTAAATTTTTAAAAATATCTTTAAAAAATAGCTTTATTAGTATATATTTTACATACCATAAAATTCACCCATTTACAGTATACAGCTAGTAGTTTGAACTTAGTATATTCCAGAATTGTTTCAACCATTCCACAATCAAGAACATTTTCATCACCCAGAAAAGAAATCCTATACCCATTAGCAGTTTCCCCGTTCTAGGCAACTGCTAGTGTGCTTTGTCTTCATAGACTTACTATTCTGGACATTCCGTGTAAGTGGACTAAGGCAATATGTGGCCTTTTGGCTGGCTTCAGATCTTTTGGTTAACAATAGTTTCAAGACTCACTCATATTGTAACATGTTTCAGTATCTTTTTTCCTTTTATGAATGAATAATATTCTCTTGTATGGATATGCCATAGTTTGTTTATCCATTCATCAGTGAATGGATATTTGAGTTGTTTCCACTTTTTGGCTATTATGAACAGTGTTGCTGTGAACATCCATGTACAGATATTTGTGTAGACATGTTTCCTTTCTCTTGGGTATATGCCTAGGATTAGAATTGCTGGTTCACATGGTAACTATATTTAGCATTTTGAAGAACTACCAGACTGTTGCTGTACTATGTTACATTCCCAGCAATGTAAAAAGGGTTTAATTTCACTATGTCCTTGTTACTGCCCCTTTCTTATTTTAGCAGACGAGTGCATATGGTTTTCAGGTGCTTATTGGCCATTTTCTTATCTTCTTTGAAGAAATTTGTCAAGATTCTTTGCCCATTTTTGAAGTGGTTTATTTGTGTCTTCATCACTGAGTTTTTAGAGTTCTCTCTATATTCTGGGTGTAAGTCCCTTGTCAGACAAATCATTTGCAAATATTTTCTCCCATTCTGAGGGTTTTTTCACTTTCCTGATGGTATTGTTTGGTATGTTCTCTCGTGTTTCCACATCTAGGAGTCCTACAAGTCAACTGTACACTGTCAGAAATCATCCACAACTACCTGTTTGCCCCTTGTTAGCTGAATTGGTGGTGGTGAATGTTTGTTCTTTGGTGGGCCACATAAAGAGGGAGAGGATCCCAGTTGTTATGGGCCTACTTGCCTTTGCTCACTAGGTGTCGCTCTGTCCTCATTTATCTTTATAAGGCTTCATAAGGCTTTAAAAGCCTTAAAGTGGGGCTTTTCCTCCCACTTTGTATCTAATGCAACACAGTAAGGATCCCTGGAAATTGATCTGTCTTTAAGCTTAAAAGGACTTTATGCCAAAAGTAATTCTGGATGTATAAGATCCTTGTCATATCACTGTTTAAAGTATTAATTAAGGGTGATTATTTCCAAACCATTCTGTCACCCTGGTTCTTAATTTCCTCTCACACGAGTTCAGTATATATAAAATCCAGATGCTCACAAGAACTTTAGTTCTGGTCTCAATCCTTTTATACCCACAGAATGACAGGGTGGCCACCCAGTTGGCTGTGAGCATTCGTGTACAAGGAGACAAACGTCTCAGCAGCGTACGCCGCTGCTGTGCCCTTACCCTCTATGATGCTCACAAGATGAGCCATGATGCGTTTGCTGTCATCAGGAACTGTAACACCTCAGGAATCAAAACTGACTGGTGAGTTGAATTCTAGCCTGTCTTCTTAGAAGACACTTGAACCCTGACTTGGTCTAAAATTCGTGGGTACATAGCTTTCCAGCTGGGGTAGGTTCTTGGTGACTCTTGCTAGGAGGACCTATCCCAGAGAGGAATGGCAGAACACAACAGAAACACCAGAAATAAGGCAGCTCAACTACAGCTTCTGTGCTGACATTTGGTGCATTCCAGTTCTGAGGGGTGGGTTTCAGAGGCAAAGTAAACCAATATTATCCCTACCTTTGCTGCAATCAGAGGGAACAACCAATTGCATGTGTGAGTATGGAAGTCAAGTTTCAAGGATACACTTGGGAACTTCTCTCTCAACACTTGATTGTTCTATCTTAAAACTATCTTCCTTGATAATGAAAGCGACCTGTATTTATTGATAATCTCAATCTAACATCCCAACCCAATTACAAGCTCCACTGGCATAATACCGAATGTCATATTAAATTTCACTTCATTTGGTAATGAAAAATAACCAAATATATCATTGGAATGTGTTTATTTATTGCTCAGATATTAATGATTTTCAGTATGGGAATCCTTTATTTAACATAGCCTGTTACATTGAAAAAAGTATTCCTAATTCACAATGGAAATATAATTATGTGAGAAACATAAATTGGTTGTTTACTTATAGATCTATACTGAAGATTATAAAAAATAAAATTTAACCTGAAACTAATGTGACATTGTGTCAACTACAAATAAATAAATAAATATTCATTGAACACCTAAGTTATTGCTTATCTAACTCTGTGGGTACTACTGTATGTGCAGACCTACAATATGATGGGGTCTCTAAAGCTGGAATCTTTGTTCTTTGTGTGGAATAGTTTATTTAACTTTTACTTCCTGGTATATGTGTTTATTTTCAAATATTGAACAGTTTCATTGAACTAAAAGATAAATATGATACTGTGTTCATATGAAGCCTTATAAATTGACAGACTCTAATAATTTATCGGGAATGTGAAATCTGTTGACAGGAAGCATCAAAATGATCTGATTATAAGAGTGTCCAAAAGCATGAAACCAGGGGATAGTGAGATACTGTCATAACAGTTTTAAAACGGCATTTACTCTTTACCTTATCGAGAGACTAATCTGTATATAAAAGCATGTTTTATCATCTGAAATTCAACTCATGTGAAAATTATTTGAGTAATTAGACATAACGAGTAACTCTATGGCAGGAATTTCTTGAAATGTTTCTGAGACTAGATTAGGTCATTCCAGTTGTGGGATTTCATTCTCTAGAAATTCGAGTTGCAAGTCTGTCAGAATGAGGGTTATAATGGTGGTGCCCTCTTTAAAAACAGAATGGGTAACAGGGTTTTTTTCAAGAGAATTCCCAATCTAAATATTCTAAAGTTTTTTTGTTGCCCTGACTAACATTTCTTGCCTCAGTCCTAAATTATAACTGCTCTTATGTATCTTCTGATGTACCTTATGAATACCTAGCTGTCAGGGGATCCATTTTGTGTATGTCTGACGTGGTTAGGTGTTCACCAAGTCAGCAGTTCTCAAGATGTGGTCCTAAGCCAGCAATATCAGCATCACCTAGGAACTTGTTAGGAAGGCATATTCTCTGCGTATTCCAGGTCTACTGAATCTGTACTAATCTGATGCCCTAATATTTAAGAACACTGCAGTAATAGTTTCCTCTTGCGGCAGAATCATAATCCCAGTCATTTACAAACTGCATATGTGACCTAGTGCTAATCTTGTTCCTTTACTTTCTGTATAGGTCCCCTCCCCTCACAATGCTCTTTCTCTGCGCTACCAAATTCTCCGCCCCTGCCCCTTCATCTTGCACAGACATCACCACCTTCTTGAGCAATGACCCAAGTTCCCTGCCAAAGGTGCCAGTTACCAGTCCAGAAGCTAAGACCCAGGGATGTGGCCCAGCAGTGACAGCCACTAAGAGAGCAACCACTTCTCTGGAATCATTCTTCCAAAAAGCTGCAGAAAAGCAGAAAGTCAAAGAAACTTCACTGTCATCTCTTACTGCCACTACCCAGGCCCCCATGAGCAATTCACCATCCAAGCCCTCCTTACCTTTCCAAACCAGTCATACTACGGGAACTGAGCCCTTCTTTAAGCTGAAGAGTCTACTTCTAAAGCAGAAACAGCTTAATAATCCTTCAGTTTTCTTCACTCCACAAAATCCACAGTCCAGCCGTGAAGAGTTAACAAACTGTCTTCCAGCAGAGTATCCAGACTGCACCCCTGTCTGTCAAGCAGCATTGAAGCTAGGATCCTCTAAAACAACTCCTACAGAGATGGATTTGGCCCAGAACAGCCCAAGCAGGCTTGCTTCTTTAACTTCCAGCTCTGCTCTGGAGGTGGCTCAGAAATCAACTACTACCCCAAGTCCTATGGCAGCTGAGGACCAAGTGCCCTGTGAGAAGTGTGGCTCTCTGGTACCTGTCTGGGAGATGCCAGAACATATGGACTATCATTTTGCACTGGAGTTGCAGAAATCCTTTTTGCAGCCCCACTCCTCAAACTCACAGGCTGTTCCTGCCGGTTCTCCTCAAAGCAAAAGAAATCCCAAGAGCCCTTCAGCCTCCAGTAATAAACGCCCTAGGCCTGAGGGCATGCGGACATTGGAATCATTTTTTAAGCCATTAACACACTAGTGCTGCCCTCAGGCTTGTTGCAGGGTTTTAATATTTTACCTGGAAACTAGGAGATGGAAATATGCTCACTTCGCAAGGAAATCTGTAACTTTATGAAATTTTTAGTAAGAGAAATAATCCAGTTAGATGCGGAGTTAAAACTCCCATCTCTTCACATGCATGGATCCCAATTCCATTGCTGACAGAGATGTAAAAACTAACTTATCTTGCAGATATCACTGCTTTGAGTTTTTAATCATCAGAGTTTAGGGAGGCAGTGTCAGAGTACAAATGTGTGGGCCTCGAAGCCTAGGAGAGGCACTTTCCTTATCTGTACAACTGATAAACCTTACAGATTATGGGAGATTAAGGACAGTGTATTTAAAGTACGTGGCTTAAAGACGGCACAAAATAGGAACTGAGAAAAAAACGTTTTTTTAAAAAATTTTCTCCAAGCGGGCGCGCCTGGGTGGCTCAGTCGGTTAAGCGACTGCCTTCGGCTCAGGTCATGATCCTGGAGTCCCGGGATCGAGTCCCGCATCGGGCTCCCTGCTCGGCAGGGAGTCTGCTTCTCCCTCTGACCCTCCTCCCTCTCATGCTCTCTGTCTCTCATTCTCTCTCTCTCAAATAAATAAAATCTTAAAAAGAAAAAAAAAATCTTTAAAAAAAAAAAAAATTTTCCCCAAGCTCTGTGATGGGGGCAGTTCAGATAATGCTTTGACCGAAATGTGAGGTTTGAGAACATGAGGTGAAGACCTGAAACCCTAAAGTGGTAACTAGTTTAGGGTAGCGCTCTGTACACAGAAGCTGCTCAATAAATACCGCATTTCAAACAAGTAAATCCTGTTATGGCCACAGTTTTAGCCACTGGCCCTTCTACCTCTTGCATTTGGTCTAGTGTAGAATGAGATTGTTAATGGACCAGTTCAGGAACTCTGTTTAGATTGGGTAAGTCATGCTCAGAACGAGATCATCTCTAGAATCTTCCTAGGCTGAGTGTGATTTTGAGGAACAGCAGCATCAGGGTCATCAGGGAACTTGTTAGAAACTGTCTCGGGCGCCTGGGTGGCTCAGTTGGTTAAGCGACTGCCTTCGGCCCAGGTCATGATCCTGGAGTCCCTGGATCGAGTCCCGCATCGGGCTCCCTGCTCAGCGGGGGTCTGCTTCTCCCTCTGACCCTCGCCCCTCTCATGTGCCCTCTAATAAATAAATAAAATCTTTAAAAATACATAAAATAAATAAAATCTTAAAAAAAAAAGAAATTGTCTCAGCCTTGGGGCGCCTGGGTGGCTCAGTCGTTAAGCGTCTGCCTTCGGCTCTGGTCACGATCCCAGGGTCCTGGGAGCGAGCCCCACATTAGGCTCCTGCTCAGCCGGAAGCCTGCTTCTCCCTCTCCCACTCCCCTGCTTGTGTTCCCTCTCTCACTGTCTCTCTCTCTCTGTCGAATAATAAAATCTTAAAAAAAAAAAATTGTCTCAACCTTACCCCCATTCCTACTGAATCAGAATCTGTATATTAACAGGATTCTCCAGGGTGTTTGAGAAATACTGATCTAGAAGATGGCGTGGCCAGCCAGGTTTGTAGAGGGCAATGACATTTCCTTAAACCCTAAAGTACAAACTTAAGAGGTAGTGCTTGGCTTTCAGGGTCACTGGCATGTTCCTGTCTTCCCTTCTGATGTTTGAATATTTAGCTTAGGGTTTATTGTAGCTCTCTGCACTTATCTGTGTTTATAGTACTGTATTCTTAATCTGCATTCTTCTATGTGGAAAATCAGCTTTTTTGATATGGGAAACCTTGTGTCACACAGAGAACCCAACTGAAGATGAACTGAACTAGGTGGTGTTGGGGGAAGTGAGTAGGAAGAATGGTGTACGTATCCCTCCTCTCATACATAATACACAAACGAACTGCTTTTCAAACTTATTTATAAATTGGGGGGGGGGTCTGTATTTAGTTTGAAGAAGGGGGCAGCATTTGAAAAACGCTGAGTGTAGCAGAAAATTACTTCTTCCTTCAAAAATATTTTCCTCTTGTAGCAGTTGAATACTGTGTACATGGCCCTTTCCTACTAGATTTGTAGTTTCTTGAGGGCAAGAATTCTTCACACTGCCTTGCACATAATAGGTGCTTGAGATTCACTGGATGAAAAATACGTAGTAAATAATTTTAGATGATTACTGGAACTGGGAGTAAAAATGTACACGCCACTGGTGTGGTGGGAGGGGCTGCTTTACACATCTTTTTATCCTCCTAAATGTTCCATTAACGTAGCAAGGTATAGCTCACTGGTTCCTGAAGATGTTTTACTAAATACTGATATCATGGGACACCTGGGTGGCTCAGTCGGTAAAAGCGCCTGCCTTCGGCTCAGGTCATGATCCCTTGGTCCTGGGATCGAGTCCCACCTGCTTCTCCCTCTGCCTGCCCCCCGCCCCCCGGCTTGTGTGTGCTCGCTCGCTCTGACAAATAAATGAATAAAATCTTTAAAAAAGTACTGAGATCATTTTCTAAAATTTCCTTTCTTAATCCAGTGAAAAGTAAAAAAAAAAAACCCTAAAATGAAGCAATACTCTCCTTCGGGTACTATACAGATTAAGTGGAACAACTTTTGAACACTTTGATTGGAAAGAGTCATATAGAAAAGCAATGTGGTAGAAACTCGGGTTTCATTGGACTTCTAGAGGCCAAGACGGGGGAAGGGGTAACTAGTCACGACCATACCAGGAGCACACCTTCTGTTTTCTTGGAAATGCCAACCCTGCCCCAGCACACTGACAATTAGCCTGTGGAGGGGACAGCAGACAGACATGCAAAAGTCAGCGTTGGGTGAAAGCTATAGTACGTTTTCGCTGAATACAACCTACTCTCTGAGCTGTTTATCAGCAACTGCACAGAAGGAAGTAAATAGCTCTTAGTCCCCAACACAGGAGGAAGAGGAAGTTCTTCAACCACAGGCTTCTTACGGTAGCAAGTTAAGCCAGTGATATTTTTTAAAAACAGCAGAGCTTGAATAGTTAGGGAAGCTATAACTTTAATACCCTGGAGATGGGGGCGCCTGCGTGGCTCAGTCGGTTCAGCTTCCCGCTCTTGATTTTAGCTCACGTCATGATCTTGGGGTCTTGAGATCAAGCCCTGTGTCAGGCCCAGCTTGGGAGATTTTCTCTCTCTCTGTCCACCCGCCCACCCAACACCAACCCGGCTGCTCGCTGGCACGCACTCTCCCTCTTAAAAACAAACAAACAAACAACCCTGTAGACAGAATGCCTCATGGGACCTTGGGCCACATTTATCATCAAATTTCTTTTGTAAGGATCAGTACTCAAAACGCAGTCCTATAAAACATGACAGGTACTCTGAACACAGAAACAGGAAGAAAGGACTAAGGTTTCGCTGGGTGGCCCTCAGAGCTCCAAGAAGCCAGTTTAGGCTACGTAAACTTCACTTCAGGCTATTTTGCATTGCTAGGGAAAGTCCGAGGGCCAGATTGCCAAGACTCTAAGATCCATTCTTCATTAAGTAGCTGGCACACTAATCTCCCAACCTCTGACAGGCACGGAGCGGTCTCCTCACCACTGTGACCACGGCAGGGGGCGTGGTTACCTATCTCAGCTGAAAAGGCGGCAGTTTCACTTTCTATTCTGCTCACTTGAGAACTATGCAAATAGGCCAGAATAGCCAGGTCACGATACCAGAACACTGATCCGCATGGGAGGGAGAGGAAAGGAAGAATGGTGAATGAGACACCAGATGGGTTCCTTCCCCATTCAGGGCTCAGCAGTGTTAGGGTTTCACTTGTCTGATCCTGAAGAGGAATCTAGCTCTGGAAGCTGAGCCCGTATCTTAAGCATAAGCACAGTGTATTCAATAAAACATTTTTTATTCTGTACAATATATATGTGTGTATTTAAATATATATATATGTATATATATGTGTGTGTGTGTATATGTGTGTGTGTGTATATATATATAGATATACACACACACACATATATATGCAGAGAAACCTGAACCAACAAATCCCTGAGTCCGGGGAACCCAGGACATTAACAAAGGGAAAGGAGGGAGTCCATGCCCTAAGAGTAGGAAATATGGCAACATCTTTCCCTTTCCTCTAGGTTCCCTGCAACAGAGGGAGGACTTACATGGGAGCAGGAAGGGGGGGGAAAGGGTGGCAGGATGAGGAGCTGTGGGTCAGGTCCCCAGTCACTCGTCTGGGAAAGTAAAACACTGTTTGATCCAGCATTAAAACCAACAAATCACTGCAGAGGAGGGGACAAGACTGATTGACATGCAGCTGACCTTCGGTATGCCAAACCTGAGCTTGGCAGCCCCACGCCTGGGCCAGCACGACAAATAGCACCTGTGGGGCCTATGAGCAGAGAAATGGGAAATGGCCCTTGAGTGAAGAAGGGAAAGGAGACAAAGCTGAGGAACAGACCTCATGTCTCAGCACAAGGTGGGAGCTCTGTCCCTGTGCCATTTCTTCAGACCCTGGGCCACCAGATGGCCAGGAGCAAATGTCTTTTGTCCACAGTCAAGTAGAGATGGGCAACTTACATGGCCTTGAGAAGAGGTATAGAAAAAGGAGTGCTTTCGAGGACCACCCCCAGTTGTTGTGACAATTCCTGAAGTGCAGGGACCACACCGGCGAATCATGCTCAGTCTCGACAGTGGGGCCAAGGTGGCGGTGGTCAGCTCCCTCCAGCAGACAGGCCATGGGGTTGCCAGGGTTGATGAGCCAACCAGGTGGGCACACAGCTGCTGAGCACTGCCCTGAATTCTCCTGTCTTCTCCCTCAGGACTGCCCCTCCCTGGCCACACCGAGCTTGGCACCTCTCCAGAAAGGTGGCAGGGAGCATGGGGCAGAGAGCACCGGTCTCTCCCTTGCCTATTAACACACAGAGCCGCCAACAGTGGGCAGCATGGCCAGAAGTCACCTCATGTATTGTAGGGACAGCAATGGAGCTGTGCCTGCCTGGAGGAGTTCAGAAGCCCATGTTGGCCTGGGCCTCTCCTGCTGCAATGGCTTGTACATCGGTGACATGGCCGATGCCCTTGGTGACACCCTCCCGGAACAGCAGCTTGGCGCCCACCTTCAGGTACTCTGGGTGTTTCAGGAAGCGGAAACGTACCACTGCCTTCTCCCCTGTCCGCAGCTTGTCCTGCAGCAGATACGCCATCACTCGTCCTGGACAGTGCCTCCCATCCCATTCTCTACGAGCCTTGGCTCTCCACCCTCAGGGGCCTATCAGGCTTCTACCCACCCAGAGTGGGGCTCTGTCCCCTTTGTGGGATCAGGGAGTTCTCTGTGAGTCTGGGGTCAGGCCTCCTTCCTTTCTGGAGGCACAAGAATTCTAACTTTTCCCTGGAAAAACGGCACGGCTGGGTCCCTCTCACCTTGGCATGGATCTTTTCCACCACTGCTGTCTGACGTACATTGCCCACGTGTACTGTCACCTGGAAGCCTCGCCGGAACGTGGTGGCATGGAACAGTAGGACTATCTCTGCCTCGAACACTGAGCAGATGGTAGGATTCATCTCGGGGCTCACCATCACCATGCCCTGCGGAGGCACAGCCCCCAGACCAAGGGCAGACCTGGCATTAGTCTCTCCCTCCCCCACCACCGTCACACCCTCTCCAGCTCCTGAACCTCTTCCTCTAGGACTTCGAACACAAAGACCTTAGAAGACAATATTCAAAACTCTCCACTTAGAACTCTTCCTCATCCCTGCCATGTCCTCTAATCCTTCTAATGCTTAGTATTTCTAGGCTCCTGGACGACAATGATCCATATTTAAGTATTCTCAGTATTCCAAGCCTTTTTCATACAGTCTATGTAACCACCTTCTTGGGTTAGAGACTATTTCCTTTGAGTTCCTCTGAAGCATCTTAGGTGCTTCTCATTCAAGCAGTCAGTCTCCCAGGCACTTCTCTTTGGGTTCCCTCTCCAACCCATCCTCCCACCTTACCTTGCGAAGAAGTGCACGGTCAAAGTCCCCGAGGGCCAACGTAGCAGCCTGACCAGCTCGCAGCACACGACAGGCAGAGCGGTTGCGCTGGATGCTGCACACTCTCAGCTCCAGGAAGCAGCCATCATCCGTGGGGCCCACCACCAGCTGGTCCCCCTCACGGCAAATCCCACTGCGGCCCAGAGGGCAGGTGGCACGGTGTCAGTTTAGCACCCCCTACCCCCAACAACCTCCTCCTCTGCGAGGGTCACCCAGAACATTCTTTCCCTTCTAAGCTGACTCCCTCGGTTGCGGGGTGGGGCGCAGGGGAGGAGGCCCCAGTTCAAGCTTCAGACTCTAACGGCTAATACCTGGAAAGGCCAGTAGTGACGGTGAGAGGTATCTGCAGCTTTGACACTAAACACACCCTCTGCTTTGAAAAAAGCCTTAAGGGATCTCTCATTTCCCTATGTGGAAATGATGTCAGGTGAATACAACTGGGGCTCAAGACCCACACTTCTCCCTCAGGAGCCTGGAGATTTCTAGTTAGCGGCAATACTATTTCTTCCCTCCTGAGTCAACAGACTAGGCTTCTCCAGCTCTTCTCATGGTGAAAGCCCAATCCGGAAACAAGCACGTCGTTTAGATCGGTCTGTACAACTCCAAGGTCTCCTTAAGGCCATGATGGAGTGTATGGGTATGTGAGGGCTGGAGGGGATGGGGAGCAAGCAAAGCAACTCACCTGGAAAGTGTCCCTCCAACAACTGTCCCCACCTCCGGTACTGTGTAGATTTCGTCCACCTGAGGCCAAAGAAAACGCTATCAACAGCCAACCAAGTAGGGCTGGCAAGTCCAAAATCTTGAAACAGGCTCAGGGCTCGGTCAGAATTAGTCCCTCCCAGTTCTCCAACTCACTGCCCGTTCAGGTGGCAAATTACCTGAAATTCCGTCAGCTGCTGCATGAGTTCCTCCTGCTCTTTGCTGTTGGTGAGTGGTGGCAAGATATTCAGAAAGACTTTAAGCAGGTCCAGACTCTCTCCAGATACGCTGGACAGCGTGAAGATAGGAGTGACGCTGTAGAGGGAGGCATGGAATGGACAGATGAGGAAGCTTCTAATAGGAAGCAGAGGCTAGAGCTCCCTGCATGCAATGGGGAGCTTCTGGGGCGGGGGTGGGGGGGAGTGGGCAGGGGCACCTCTCTCCTATCTGCTGACCTTGTCAGGAGCTCTGAGTCCTTTCTCTGTGAGCCAGCCAAGGAATGTGGCTCACAAGGCTCACCCCGAAGCCCAAGGGAGACAGCGAATGCCTGGCATAGCACTTTGTCTCCTGCATCCCAGGCACCAGCAAGCCTCCAGGCTGGCTAGCAGACTCCCTCCCACAATCCCAACCGGAAAAAACACAGAACTGAGCCAGAACTGGTCTTGTCCTGGGGTGGGACGCCACGCGGCAGCCTTCCCCATGATCAGGGCTCTGGAGTGAGGAAAGCTTACTTGGGTGACTGGGCGAACTGCTGAGCCGCAGTGACAGCGTCATCCTCGGAGGTGACCAGCATGGGGACTTTGTGGCAGCCAGGCTGCTTGAGGACCCGCTCTAGTTGGCGTACTGTCCTCTCCACTGTGGTCTTGGCACACAGGTCCACCTTGCTGACCACGATGAAGAAGGGCACTTTCAGGGCCAAGGCCAGCCCCAGATGCTCCCTTGTGGTGCCAGCTGCCTCAGAGAAGGAAGGCGGGCAGCAGGAGAGGGGTGAGAATGTGGGAGGGCGCAGGGGGGACAGGAGAGTTCGTCTGACTCCCGGATTCGAGGAGACTCAGGGTAGGAGAGTCAGCACCCCCCACCAGCCCCGTCCCTGCCCCCCTGCCCCGTACCAATCCCAGTGTTAGCACTGACGAGCAGCAGGGCGCAGTCGGGGCAGTAGGAGGTGAGGCCGAAGATGGTAGTGTGTAGGTACTTGTGGTGGCCTGCCAGGTCGATGAACGTGATCATCTTGGAGCTGCTTTCACAGATCTCTTCTGCCGTCCGTGAGTCACTGTAATTCACCACCTGGCCCAGAGCCCAGGGCTCTCAGTGCCCCCTGTCAGCCTCCCCAACCCTTTAAGAGTCGCCAGGACCTAAACCAGTCACTGGGTGACCCTGCCTCCTACCCCTGAGCCCCGTATCTGATATAACTCAGCTGATTCCCCATTTGTTTTCTAAGGAGACAGAGCTTGTTCCCTGCCCTCAGGGTCTTCTACACTACTCCAAAAAGTCTGCCCTTGGGCTCTGTCCTCGGGCTCTGTCCTTCACCACTACCATCCCATCCTCAGAGTCTGGCCCCACTGGGTCCCGCTGATTGCATGCACCTCTCCCTTGCTGTTAAAGCCCAGGATCTCGAAGCTGATGCTGGAGGTTCGGCCAGACTGAATCTCATGCAGGTGGCGGAAAAGGTTGAGCCGAGCCCGGCCCCGCCCATTGTCCAGCTCTCCCTGGGTCAGGACTCCAAGCAGAGTCGACTTCCCTGAGTCCACATTGCCCAGGACGGCCACACGGAGGTCTAGGAACTGTGGATGAATTGCGAGAGGTAAGGGCTCCAATCCCTTACGTCTCTCCACGGACGGGTGGGTTAAGGGCAGTGACACTCCCTGGGGACCAAATAATGACCTGGACGCCCCCAGGTTCCCAGGCCAGTGACCCTCCTGGGGAGCAAGGGTGTGAGAGGTAAGGGAAGGGTGTATGCTCACCTGTTGGTTGTCAGGGACCTTTCGTACCAGCACTTCGGTAATCTTCCGGGGCATGTCACTGTCATAATCCACTTCCCGCTCCCGGAGAACAGTGATATCTGCCCCGACCCTGTCAGAGCAAGGCCACGGCTGCCACATCTCACCTGGACTCTCCTGCCCCCCACCTTCCAACCTGGCTCTGGACCAAATGGCCTTTCAACACCTCCCAACACGCGACTTCGCTTCCTACCGCCCTCCAGCCTATCCCACATCCTTTTAAACACACAAATCTTAAATCAAGGAGCAAAAAAGCCTCGGTCCAACATGGAGGAACCCAGAGCACTAGCCCTTCCCACTTCAGCCCTTTGTCAAGAGCAGGCAGCAGAAGGAAGTCCCGCGTTGGCCCCTCAGGCCCAAGGTGACTGGGTATTCACAGGTCCTCTCCAGTTAGGTAAAGAGAATAGGGATTGGGAAGCATACTTCTCTGCCATCCGGTGCAGGGTCTTGAGGGATGCCCGCATCTCCTCCTCAGCCAGCCCCACCAGCAGCCCATTGTCCTCTACCCCAATCTGGTAGACAGCCTCACCGCGGCCCTCCTGGAGCCGCCACTTCATCTGTGTCACCAGGTGCTCAAAGCGGTACTGGGATGGATTCACCAGCTTCAGCTTAGGACAGGTGAGGTGTCATAAGAAAATCAAGTCAGAGATGCTCCTCCTAAACCCACATGCTCCCACCTGTCCTGCTGTAAGGACTAGGACCTTTCCTTCCCACTTAAAGCCCCTCATCCCTGGTCTCCTCAAACAGTGAGTCCCCCTCCAACAGAATGAGGTATAGAGCCTTTACCCTGAATCATTTCCCTAAATTGCTATACATCATGGGGTTGGAAGGATCTCAGAAAAAAATCACCCCATACCAGCAAGGACAACCTGCCCCTCCCCAGCCTAAGACTCACTTTATATTCGATGTTTCCATCTTCAGCCTGAAAAGAAACAGAAAGCAGTTCTGACACACTGTCCTGACCAACTTCTACTTCCCTCTGATTCCTGCTGGGGCCCAGGCAGCTAACTTGAGAGAGCAGGAACCTCAGTGGCACCTGCTTAGACACAAACCCTCTACTCACTCCCAATGGACCTCTCTGAAGGCCTCTAAGAATACAGTGAGTCACCCATGTGAGCCAGAAACAAAAACCTAGTCCCTCCTTTCTTTGATTACTGGTGGTATACTCTTCCTAGATGCAAGATCACCCCTTCCTTCTCCCTGGGGCCTCAAACTGTTGTCCCCAGAAGTCCAGATTTCCTGTGTTCAGGTTGCTGAGGTCATTCTCTGCCACTGGTCTGGGAGACACCATTCCTTCCGGCCCACCCCTCTCAGCTGATGTCACCAAGCGTAAGAGTCTGCAAGAGGTTCTGGACCAGGGCCAAAGGGTGAGCTCAGCGCTGGTCACTATAAGCCTGATGAGAGACTAGCCCAGGTAAAATGAGGGGCAGGGCTCCAAAGCTGGGGCTGAGATGAAGAGAAGAAACTCAGGAAATGCAATAAAGGGGACAGACTCCACAAACCAGATTCACATGCTTCAGATGAGATGAAATCCTGAATCCACCCACACAACCTCCTCTACATCTTCCCTCTATCAGGTGACCCACCACAGAAGCAACCTGTTGCCTGAGCCTTCCCCTCTAGGGTGCAACAGGATAAGAGATTTGCTTCCTGTGCCTGTCCTGCATTTTGGCACTCCTCCTCCCTGGCCATTTTTCTTTTTCCCTTCCTGTCATCATCAAGGCCCTCTGACTTCCAGGCTCTTAACAGGTCTTCACCCACAATCTCTACCTCACGGAGTAAAAGGGAGATCTTGTCCCATTAACAAAGATCTTCCTTTTTATCATTTTGCTAAAGGTGAAGAATTAGGATGGGTGGCTTCAGAAAAGTGGTACAAGGATGACGGTCTAGGCCAATGGTTCTCAAAGTGTGATCCCAGGACCAGGAGCATTAGCGCTGCCTGGGAACTTGTAAGAAATGCGGAGTATCAGGCCCACCTCTGACCTACTGAATCAGAAACTCCAGGGGTGAGGCAGCAATCCAGGTGATTCTGATACATGCTAAAGTTTGATAACCACTGGCTTAGGCTCTTCCCCCTCAGTCCTCCTTTCCTAAGAGGCACAAAACAGCAGTTATTCTCTGCCTTAGGGATAGATGGGGCAGGAAGCCATCCCCACTTCCTCATAGGACAAAGGGCAAGAGGACTTAAGCCTGACTGTTGTCTGCTTTTATGCGTGTGTATATGTGTACTCAGGGACAGAGGCGGAACATATTGCTCTTTTCCCCAGTACTCCCCTCCTCCCCTGTGGAACAAGTTTAGAAAACTCTGCTGCCTTCTCATCCCAGGATGCAGTCTCCCTTCTGTTGCAGAAGGATGAAGCCAGGGCATTCTACTTTGCTTTCTCCAAGGGGATGAAAGTGGGATACCCTTTCGCCACTTCTCCTCCTGAGGTTACTGGATCAGAATCCTCTTCCAGAAATCCTCCCTCCCCAATCTTCCTCCCTGGGGTCCTGACACCAGAAGGAAAGTCCTCCCAGGGGTCCTGGGACCGGAAGGAAGGGTTCCCTTCTCCCCACAGTGTTCTGACACCGGAAGGGGGTATCAATTCCCTCTGCTCCGCCTCCCTGGAGTCCCAGGACCGGAAAGAGTGATTTCCTCTCCTCACCCGCCACTTCTCATGGGGCTCACCTCGGGGGGCAAGTACGGAGGATTGTTGGCTTTGCCCCCTCTGTTCCTTCCGTTCTTCTTTTTCCCCTTTGGGCCCCCGCAGCCGCTGCTGCCGCCGGCCCCCCTAGCCTTAAGGGTTCCGCCCACGGCCGGGCCCCCTCCGGGCCGGCAGCAGCCGCCGAACAGCTCCGATACCCGCGAGTCCATCCGCCGCTGCCACCAGCCCCCCGCCCGGCCCCTCCCCCCCACCGCCACCGCCACCGCCGCCGCCGCCCCTACTGCCACCGCCGCGTCGGGCCAGCCAGAGGAGAGCGGGGTGGGGCCCTCCGCAGGCCACGCCCCCGCCCTTCTCTGGCCCGGGGTCGCGTCAGAAACAGCCGCGGGGCACCACGGGAGATAGAGTCCTCAAGCCTGGGACCTCCCCTAAATGAGCTGCCGATGCCCTACAATTCCCAGGAGGCATTGCAGCTCAAGGGGCCGCGGCGAGACTTCGGGGCGTAGGCAAGGAGTGCGCCTTTGCACGCAAAGGCCTAGGGGAGCTGTAGTCTGATTCCCAATCTCCTTGCTCTGAGCGGGTCTTTTCCTCGGGCCTCCTTGGGGGAAAAGATTAGGGACCCGCAGCCTGGGGGTGGGGCAGTCACCCGAGGTGGAGAGCTTACATCAGAATCAAGCTTTGCACTCCTTGGTTTGGCCCCTTAGCGAGATCCCAGACAACAGGTTTTGGACCTGGAGAGCTGCAAAATTCAGGGCGACTGGTCCCTCCAGCCGGCTGGCTCCGCCCCTGCCTCAGTTTCTTCCCCGACAGCTGGCGTGCCGTCGGGGTGAGTCAGGGCGAATGCCAGGGCGGAGGCAGATGGTGGTTAGCCTAATTACGGCTGTTATTGTTGCGATGATTATGCCACCTTTACCCAGTAGTCACTACTTTATTACCAGGCTGGTACCCTCCGGGGGCTGGTTTTAGCAACCCGAGACACCGCGGTGCCACCAACACGAGGCCCGAACCTATAAACCAGCCTTGCAGCCCGAGGGCTACAAGGATGCCCTTAGCGAGTATTACCCCTCCCCTTTGTTTTGAAGCCGAACCAATCCCGGCACTGCGAGTTTAGTTTTAAAATAGCCAGGCCGGTAGGAGGCGCCTGGCCCCTACTTGGGGCGGGGCTGGGGCTCGGGTTACGTCAGCCACTGCTAGGGCTGTGGCTGGGAGAAGTGGCTGGCAATAGAAACTTGGCCAAGGGCCCGGGATTACTGACTTTTGACTTTCTCGCCAAGCCATCTCTCTTGCTCTTTAGGGCTCTTGCAGTCGGCAAAGAATAAACACTCAGCGACAGAAAACCAGCGCACAAGACACTGGAAAGGCAGAGTGGAGAAGCAATTAGTGTTGCCGGGCTGGGAGTCAGGACGCCAGGGTTCAATTCCTAGCCCCATGGCTGTCCCATGATTCACCATTCACCCTATGTCCACTTCCCCTCTTTCACAAACATCGAGATGCTCTCACACAGCCAGGAAATAAAACGACCCTTCCCTCCAGGTCTCAGTTTTCCTTGGAAAACTAGAAGCCGCAACAGTGACTTACCTCTGGTGATCCTTTCAGGGGTTCAGACCTCGTGGAGTCCATGGCTTCCCCTCAAGACTACAAGGAGGGAGGTGGGTTACTTATCATTCAGTTGCTCTCCACAAGGCATAACTCCCCAAAGCCATGGAAGCAGAAGGACCAAAATCTGCAAAAGGGCCCAGCAGATCCAGCCAATTTTGCGGTCTTCAGTGGTTGAAAGCACGCATGATTTCTCTCTTTTCCACCCTATTCAGCGAAAGGAAGGTAATGCTGCAGAGGTCAACTCCAGCCAGGGGCACGACCCTGCCAGGAAAACTGCTACTTAGAGGCTGAGACTGAGGAATTCAGTAAGAGATCGCAAGAAGGATGGAAGTTGGAAGGGAGAGCCAAGACTATTCCCCCAACATTCTCACCACCACCAACTCTGTGTTCCCTTGATAACCAGGGCCTGCTGCACTTGCCTGATAACACTCATCCTCTCATCTCCTTGTGTCTTTCAATGACCCAACATACAAAATTTCACTTCGTCCATCCCAATCCTCTTTTCTCCTAAGTGGAGAATTTCTTCTAAGAAATGGGAGGGGATAACCTATTCTGATATCCCATTCTTGAATCCTAGCTTACCACGGACAGGAGTGAAGGCTGGCAGAGGAGTAGACTAAACAGGGATGACTGTCTAGGAGGAGATCAGGGTCCTGGGAGATAGAAGGTAGTAGATGTGTTTGGCTTCCTGGAGGGGTTGCTTATGAGGTGTTTGGCTATGGGATTACACACACACACACACACACACACAATTTTTCCTGGTATATAATTAGTCATTTATTCTTTGCGTAGAGTACCTTTACATAAGTTTTAAATTCAGGGACACGTGGGTGGCTCAGTTGGTTAAGCGTCTGCCTTCGGCTCGGGTCATGATCTCAGGGTCCTGGGATCGAGTCCCGAGTTGGGCTTCTTGCTCAGCGGGGAGCCTGCTTCTCCCTCTGCCTGCCAATCCCCCTGCCTGCCACACCACCTGCTTGTTCTCTCTCTCTGACAAATAAATAATGAAATAAAAAAATAAAAAAAAATTAAAAATAAATTCAAAGTAGCAATCTTTCCATTTATACTTTCTTGGTTTTGTGTCATGCCTAGGGTAACCCCACTGCTAGATTATGAATTATTCCCCAATATTTTCTTCAAGGAGTTTGGAGGTTTATTTTTATGTTTAGATCTTTAATCCATTTTATTATTTTTAAAAAATTTATTTATTTGAGAGAGAGAGCACGAAAGGGGGGAGGGTCAGAGGGAGAAGCAGACTCCCTGCCGAGCAGGGAGCCCAGTGTGGGACTCGATCTTGGGACTCCAGGATCATGACCTGAGCCAAAGGCAGTCGCTTAACGAACTGAGCCACCCAGATGCCCCAATCCATTGTATTTTTTAAAAGATTTTATTTATTTATTTGAGAGATAGAGAGAGATAGAGTGAGCACAAGTGGAGGGGAGGCACAAAGGAAGAGGGAGAAGCAGGCTCCCTGCTGAGCAGAGAGCCTGACTCGGGGCTTGATCCCAGGATCCTGGGATCAGGACCTGAGCCAAAGGCAGACACTTAACCGACTGAACCACCCAGGCACCCCTTCAATCCATTTTTTAAAAAGATTTATTTGGGGCGCTGAGTAAAGCTCATGTAAAGCTTTACCATGATCTGGATCCTGTTCGTCTGCCACAGCCTTAACTCTTTATAATTTGAACTCTTTTCTTTCCTTTTTAAAATTTTTTTATTTATTTAGAGAGAGAGAGCGTGAGTGGGTGAGGAGCAGAGGGAGAGGGAGAGAATCTCAAGCAGACTCTGGCACTGAGCGCAGAGCCCCTTGCAGAGCTAATGTCCTGACCCTGAGATCATGACCTGAGCCCAAATCAAGAGTCCCTCACTCAACCTACTGAGCCACCCAGGCGCCCTTGAACTCTTTTCATTCCTTGAATGGAGGATGCTCTTGTCTCTCAAGGTCTCCAGGATACCTAAGCCCTCCTCTTTACTTTTACTCATCCTATAGGTCACAGTTTCCTGGGCACATTTCCTCTGGGACCACCCCGCTAGCTTAGGTGGCCGGTTCTTCTATCCACAGCCCGTGCACACCCCACGGTATATAATTCATCACATGGTATCGTATTTCTAGGCAGCAAACCCCTTAGGACAGCAACCGCCTTCTGCTTGTTTGCCAGAGGCTCCAGCACCTAGGACAGGGCCTGGCACGAAGTAGGTGCACAGTGAAGAGTGAACGCAGGAGAGAATGGGTGCGTGAGGGCGAGTGTCCTCTGGAAGGCAGACCTCAGTGGCTGAGAGAGCGTGGGTTCCCTGTGGGGGAAGGGCTCGGCGGAACCCGTGCAGGACTGTTCGGAGAGAGCACCGGGCTCAAATCCCAACCCCGCCCAGCTTCCACCACTGCGGCGGCGCCGCGCCCCCACTCGTCCCAGTCGAGCCGGAAGTGGAGGCAAGGGCTTCCCATGATACCCCGCGAGGCGCCTATTCAAACCGCACGGAGCAGCGGGAGGAGGTCGTGATGGCGGCTCCGGAGCCGGAAGTGCTGTGCCGGCCTGCAGTACCTGGTAAGGCCTGGGCTTCGGAGCTCGGGGAGCCTTGGGGACCTGTTTCTTCCCTACCGCCGCTATCCAGTCTTTTAGTCCATGACCCTTTCTCTGGCCCGTCTTCCTTGCCCCCATTTGCCGGCGTCCCTCCTGGCTCCCGCTCGGCTCCAGGTACTCCATCGCCCCCTCGGTCCTGGATCCCATTGGTTCGTCCCTACTCTGTCTTCCTCTCCGCGGCGTTCTGGATCCCGCTTGATTACTCTTAGTGTAAACGAATTTCCCCGGGTTAGGGCCTCCACTTTCTGAGCGGAGCCCTAGTCACGGCGTCCGAAATTCTCCCTCCCCCATTCCCATTCCCCATCCAGCCGTCACTGAAATCATCTTAGGCGACTGGGGTCTGGAATCTCCCCGCCACCACCCTCAAGGAGTTTGCGGAGGGAATGTGTCGGGCTGTCCCCTCCCCAGTACAGGGGAATAAGACTGACTGGCTTTTAAATTTTTTGTCTCTCTTCTGTCCCTCTGCGCACCTACTAGATTTGGAATGGTATGAGAAGTCAGAGGAAACCCACGCCCCCCAGATAGAACTACTTGAGACTACCTCTACTCAAGAACCTCCCAACCTTTCGGAGCCCTTTCGCCCCAGAGACTGCATGGTGCCAGTGGTGTTTCCCGGGCCTGTGAGCCAGGAAGGCTGCTGTCGGTTTACTTGTGAACTTCTAAAGCATATCATGTACCAGCGCCAACAACTGCCTCTGCCCTATGAACAGCTTAAGCACTTCTATCGAAAACCTTCTACCCAGGTAGGCACAGGCTTTGGGAGAAAGCTGGTGAGGAGACTGTGACTGTACACGGTAGGCAGGTGAAAAGGGGTTCTGAGGAATCTTCAGCCCGTCAGCCTCAACAGCTGTAAGGAATGTGTTTCAGCTGCATGGCTTTAGTTTCTCCCCACCCTAGTCTTTGATAGTCTAACCCTCCAGCATTTTCTCATTTTCTTTTTCTGAAACTGCTATTGTGTTGCATTTGGACTTGATGAACTGACCTTTTAATTTTAATGTCTTTTCTCCCCAGATGTTCATCCCTTTGTCTTTGTGGGGTTTTTTTAAGATTTTATTTATTTGATAGAGCACAAGCAGG